GGTATCATACTGAAGGTTCTTGCAGACAATAGTAGGCAAACTAGTATGTAGTCATATCATGTGCCCCCCTTACCTGTCTTTCGGAGTTACCTGTCAAACGAATTCTCCCAGAGCACTGTCCTATGGCTCGAAAGCACGTTGTAGGAATTTTTCATTAACCAGTCAGTCCGCATCAGGAAGAGAGGGTGTAAAAAAATAGAAAACAGAAAGGGAAATGACAGCAGATCGCAGAAAGGCAAATCTCCCCACCAGCACCGCCATTGAGTAGCGTCCTCCAGACCCATACTACGACTTTCCATGAAAATTTCCAAGCTAATTCAATCCCGGTTAACCCAATGCGAAGTTCGAACACCTACGCATCAGGAGATCGCCATGCCGAATCAATCCATAATATCGCCCCCAGTCCTAGTTCACCAGCCACCTCGCGATGGTCTACCTAGTCTCCAACCAGGATGCCCACATTTGCTCGGCCAGTTTATCCTACTTTCCCATTCTTAGCGGGTACCCGCCCCGAACTCGGGCGATAGAAAATGATAGACCTGATGATCACCCGACTGGGTACCTGGTGTTAGCATGCTTGCCTAGTCTGGAGCCGGCTGTTCCCTAGGCTAGCGATGAGACTGCTGGGGAATTGTTGAGATCGTACAAGATGCTTGTGTATTTTGGAATTCGCTCGTTTACTTTCGCTAAGGGGTCTCGTGCCGAGTGCTTTTCGACTCCTGCATAAGCCTCAGCCTGGCGATCCTTTCCCCTGGGCTAACAAGTTGAAGTATTTCGATCATTGGCCCAGAGTCTATGTTGAGTTGCACCACTGTGATGTATAGGTGAGTCTTCTGGGAAGGCAATTATCAGAGAGGTGCGTCATTTTTCTTCCCTTGACGCAGCTTGTACATTGCTACCTGGAGATCTCACCCAAGGCATACCATTTACGCGGCTCTGTCTGAAACAAGACTATCGACTGCATCTGGGGAGAAATGAATCATGTATACTAATGCCAATTACTTGAAGGGGAAAGGTTGCGTTCATCATAATAAGAAAGTGGCTAGAGACAACTCACCAATCATTTGAGATGTATATCTGCCCCAGACTGGTCAGCATTATAATGGAGATGACCTCATTGGTGATCGTGATCGGTCATGGTCAACGCATTTCTTTTCATTGGTGATCTCGAACTTGAAGGAAGATCCCATGCATAGGGTCGGTTGGTCTTTTACCAACTAGTTGTGTTTCAGGATATGATTAGGATATGCCATGTGCTCTTGTTGAACCCGATACCGGAGCTTCTCTTTACTGGTAGAGACAGAAAGCGTAAACCTGCCATACCATTCCATGTCTACCTCTTCCAATCATGAATTTTGACTATTGTACTGATGTATTACAATGGGCTATTGCGAGTGTATCGCTGTCCCAGACCCAGTGACTGCGAGATCATCCATCAAACGTCATGCGAAAGGACCGCATGAACTAAATATAAACATGTACAGGTACTGGGGTAATCTATGGTTTGTATTTTTCTTAGTCGAGGGGGCTGCTTCTCAACGCTTCGTGTACTGTATTGCTTGCTGATCCCATGGAGTGCACTAAATTGCATGGATTGGCATTTCCCCCAATCTACCACAGGGGCCAATCATGGGTGGGCGATGAGCATCCCCAGTCCCGACCTCCTCAGCTGAGCTGTTTTTGACTTGTTGAGTCCTGGTCGATGAAGAACTTATCCGCTAAACCGAAACCGGGTGGCCTCCAACCGGCCCAACCCTTCTCGAGGCGCCACATTTCGTCGCCGATAGGAATTCGTAAAGTCTGCGATTGTTAGCTTGAGGGAACCGACACTAAAAGAAAGAAGAAGAAGGGAAGAAAAAGGGTAAGGTATGTGTTACCTTGTAGAAGAGTACGGATTTTGCGGATTTCGCCAGATTGTACTCGGTCGGATATCCCCTTTAGCAGCCGCTCGGCCTCACCAGCCTTCATCGTACCCGCGGGCAACATCTGGAGAGTAGATTGGAACCAAGCCCCAGCCTCCTGTGGCATCAAGTCGAAGAGTGACATCATCACACCGGACGCATCTGGGAAACATTCTGCCGGGAATGAGAACAACATTCCTGTTAGAATTCGCTGCGAAAGCACTTGTCCCTGGGACGCAATCAACTGTTTGACTGCCTCGCGAATTTCTGGAGGATTCATATACGGGTTACCATCAGAGGTGGTGAACTCGGACACTGCGGGCTTTTCGAAAGCGAAGCTAAACAGGTCATGGTAATAATGTAATGTGGCAATAAGAGGGTCGATCTGCTGCAAAGTAAGGGCGCTCAGGGCTGCAGAGAAGATCGGCACAGAGAGGGATGAGGTGATGCACTCTTTGGGGTAGTACCGAACAGCATCCGAAGAAAGACGATAGAAGTCCTCAATTACTGTTATGGATGATTGGGATCAGCAATGGAAAAAAGAAAAAAGAAAAATAGGAAAAGAGCAGGTTCGTCTAGTGCTTACCGTCAGGCAGGTTCTCGGGGGGTAAGTCATTGAGAATACGCAAGAAGGCGATTGCCTGTTGCTCGTAAAATTGGAAGACGGCACGACTCGTGCCTGGGTCGACGAGATCAGCGCCTTCAGAAAATTCCCGCACGACTGCATCAGTGGCCCACAAGAAGCATCCTTCTCGCGAAGCTTGGAATCCATTTGCGAGGCTCTCTGCTAGTGTAGGTAGTAATGGAGTCATGGCTGTTCGGTAGGAGATAAGCATATTCCTCCAGCAGCGGCACACTCGCTCCAGAATGGGAGTGGATGAAGTAAAGTTCATGACAATAGTGGTCATGATGGGCAAGACCTCGCCACAATATTTGACAGCGGGATTTTCCTCGCGGGGTGAAACATAAGGATTCACTACTAGCACGAAGATCGTAATCAATTGGAGATGGTCTGTGGTGAGAAAATTAGCAGGCCGATTTTCATGAATATCCGTGAATACGTACCAGCGACAGCCCGTTGGCCCTGTTCGTCCTTCGCATTGTTTGCCAAGTTCATGATTCTAGCCATGATCGGGTCGCAGAACATTTTCATCGTCTCATAGATCTTCTCAAGTGGCTGCACTGCAACCACAGCAGCCACACCCTCAGTCACCTCTTCCTGACTTGCTGGCTTCAACTTATCAATAACAGACTCATAGAACGAATGGAGTTGAGCAATGTGTCCGCCGAGCAATTTTTGACAGTCAGTACCCAGGAACTTGAAAGCCAGAGCTGCGGCCTGAACAACTTCCGGGGAGCTGTGCTGAAACCCAGAAATAACATAGTTTAGCTGTGCCTCAAGAGTTTCCGGGTGCTGTGCTGTCCATTCCGTATAGCGGGCCAGGGCCATGATGGCCTGGAATCGAACCTTCTCTTGGTTCGGTATTTGTGTTATGAGAGGAATTACCTGCGGGAGAACCTGGCTTTCTTCAGGGTCAACCATACGGCCCATGGCTCTCAAGCTAAAGAGCGGCGCTTCAAGCTCTTGCCAATTTGGAACATGTTCATCGCTAGCCTGAGAGGCGTATTTGGATATCCACTGCTGAATTAACTGATACGCCTTGGTCAGACATTCCGTCACTCCGATCACAGCACAGCAGTCTTTGAGGACATCTCCCATCGAGTGTCGGTAGTGACGAAATTTCTCTTCTTGTTCCCGGTCTCCACCAAACAAATCGGTCTCACCCTCTTCTGGGCGGGGGTACTCAAGATGCTTGACCATAACATCCACCAGCTTGGAGAAGACATCACTGTAGCTTACCCGTGCATCGGCATACCGCTCCAGCGTGACGTATTGCTTCAATTCATACCAAAAAACGAAAGTTAGTGAAACGGCGTCGTGTTCCCAGTCTCGTGCGCAGCATTCTAGGACAGCCTCCACGAGGCCCCGGAAATCGGATGGTAAGCGGGCGATCAGCACAACCCAAGCCTCACCAGCCTCTGCGAAAAGCCTGGTAATGCCTCTGAACGCATCCGTATCCTCGGCCTCCGCAGCCTCGGCGATCTTTGGACGAAGGGACATTAGGCGTGGATATAAGGTCTGTATAATCGGCAGTGAGTCGTCCACCTCCCGAGTATCCCTATACAGGGTGCAAACACTCTCCACTGCGGCTTCAAATGACACGTCATCGTCAAGTGCCTTGAGAATGACATCCAACAAGGGCGATTCGACAATCTTCGAGGCGGGGATCTCGCGCATCCAAGATGTAATGCAGTCCAGCAGACGAGGATTGGTAGATGCAGTTGCTAAAATCGGTATAAACTTTAGCACATGTGTGAATTTGGGTCGCGAAGGATATTAAGGAAGGTGTACATACGTGATGACTGAGCATACTGAATTAGAAGGTGCATCACTTGCTCTGCATTGTCTTCCAAGAGTTCTTTCGTCCTGAGCATGAGGTCGTCTTCCTATTAATGACATATGTTAGAGTTTGGTTATTAATCGCACGAAGCAGAGCCGTTGCTGATTGCGTGGAAGATGGGTAGGTAGGTGGGATAGTGCCTGTCGAACATACACTTAGATTGATTTTGCGACCTTCTGTAACTTCTTCCGGAAGGATTCTCAGGAATTCCAACACGCAATCACCAGCATTACTTCCCAATGCAGAGCCGACAGTAGCGAGGACATCCTTCCACCCAGTCATCTGAATGGCGAGGCTCGCCAAACATACGCATAGTTGTGTCTGAATGGGGCGAGGACCCGATGCAAAGGCGACGAGGAGATTCATCACCGAGTCCCTTAGAGCGGGTACAGACTCTGCGGGCAGCTGGTCCAGATCGAACATGATCTACAACAATCAGCATCCGGGTACTTCTTCCATTGGCCATGGATCGTTTCACCTTTCCTTTCAGCGTGGTCGCAGCGAACAACTTGGCCTCGACAGGAACATCGGGAGACTGCAATAATTCATGGGTAATTGTCCAGGCTTCAACCTAGAGTATGATTCCAGGTTTGTTAGTAAGAACACATTGGGCTGAGGCGAACTGGTACGGAGAAGGGGTGAGGGGTCGGGGGTAACGGACTGATTTCTGGAATTTCTCGAGAAACTCATGAGCATGCGCCTTATCGGTTCTGGAAACATTTCCCTGCATTGTAGCGACCGCAGCTAGAACAGGGCCAAAGGCCTGTCCTGTGGTTCCCTCCTTGCTGGCCATCGTCGATTGGAGTGGGATGTTTTGGTTGAGGGAGAATAAGAAACGGAGATGAGGGGTCAGCCAGGCCGGAGGCTTAACACCTATGGAGTACAGTCATGAATACTCATTAAATAACCCCTAAAGAAGGTATGCAAGGAGAGGCCCAGGCACAAGAAAAATCATTCAATAGTGGTGGATGGGGAAATCGGGTGAATGACCGTATAGTAGAGGTGGGATGTGGTGACGCCTGAACCCAAAGGGAAAAGTTGGTGAGCCGCAGCGAAGTCCCGAAGCGGTTTGAATCCGCCAGAGTTAAGCTCTCTCTCTTCCTTCTCTCATCTTGCCCGCCAGCACTAAACCAACCTCCAACATCCGCGCAAACCATCATAATAGCTTTCTACCAGTCGCTTGAGTACGGCTCATCGATCGCTCCTCCTATTTGAACCCGTCCCTTATTTCACTCATCGCGTATCATCATGGCTGGTCGTGGAGGCGGTGGAGGTGGTCGCAAGACCTTGCTCGCGCCGATTCATTTTATTTTCAAGCTTCTTCAACAGCGCTCCACCGTTTCTATTTGGCTCTATGAGCAATTGGCTTTTCGTATAGAAGGCAAGATTAGGGTATGTGGTCGTATATGAGCAAAAACCGTGATAACTGGCTGACTTGATCAGGGATTCGATGAGTTTATGAACCTCGTCGTTGATGATGCGGTGGAGGTCAGGCTGGCTACAAAGACCGAAGAAGAGAAGCGCCGGCCTCTAGGTATGGAGCTAATGTCTATATCTGTTTTTACCTAGCAGTTAGCGGGCTAACTAGATTTCTCGTGTAGGCCAAATCCTACTTAAGGGAGATAACGTCTCACTCATCCAAGCCGTTCAGTGATCATAGAGGCCGCAGGAAGCATACGGAAAAGAAATTTCAAAAATGTTTTGCCAGGCTACGACAATATCTATTTCTCTTTAATCATGTCTTTTTACGGGTTGCCGCTGGGAGACACTCTTGCACATCAATTAAATACACGGAGTTCTGACACGAGAGGGAATTCTTTTTTGGGCTACAAATTAGTAGTGACGGACGAAGCACCCATTGTCGCCGACGATGAGAACATCTACTGGCCAGTCATGGTTTGCAACGGGTATCTGTTCGGTCGAGGGCAAAGTTTGCTCCTTGAGAGAGAGGGCAACTGGGCGAAGGTTAGGCAAGAATAAAAAAATCTGTGCTTCTTCATGCGTTGGGAGGGCTCTCTTACCAAGTAAAGGCATTTTTGGCGTCGTTGTCTTACTCTCAATCTCTTTGGAGTACCTAGTTAGAAAATGATCATAATATCCTTTACCATGACCCAGCCTCCTAAATTCATGATCGAAGGCCATTCCTGGCATGACAATCAGATCTAGTCCCCAGTTTCCATCTGCAGTTTTCTCGGCTCCTGAGGGGGAGACTCCGAGACCGCCGAGGCAGTTCTTTCTTGTACCAACTTGGGTTTTCGCGAGAGATGGAATTCCCCATTTGTCGGGGGTGAGAGAATTGAACTCTTCCATGGAATTCAAGGCCAACATGTCCATGATGGATACCTTCTGCTGCGTCGATGGCAGCTCCACATTATGGATATAGGGTATGAAGACCTCTTTGCCATTTATCAATGCATCTTGCACAATGGCTGTAGTTGATAGCTCTCCCGACGGCATTGACAAATAAACTCCAATCCTTTTTGCATTTTGGTACTCAGTTAGAGAGAACAGCTTGTTTGTGGCAATTCTAGCTATAACGTGTCAGCACCTTTGATTATGAGTCAAAAGCGATAAGGTCTCTGACATTGATTGACAATAGTATCTGCGGGGATCTTTTGTAGGACATCACGCATTTTTCTGCGAAGGTCTTTCTTAGCTGTTTGTAGACCAGCCATCATGTTGCTACGACGAAGTGTTAAAACCCTCGGAGTGATGTAGGTTGGATATTGGATGTTGATGGTAGGTATACTTAAGTACTTAAGAGTGGCATGTACGGCGTACTCCACGGCAAACTACTGGATCTGGCGATGTTTGTCAACTTTGTTTCGGAGTTAATATCAGTGTCACGGGCGTGGCTTGGCACATTGGCTTTTTTAGGGTGATTTGCGTGGTTGGATCGACGGTTGTGCCTGGAATATGCTCCACAGAAACGGCCGTGGAATTGGACCCTTCCTGGGATTCCTTGATCCTTCCTTTGCTACAACTCCCAAGTATCTGTTGATATCTGTCCCACGAACATATCAGAAAAATGCTTGCGGGATACCTTTCTCTTAGTCTACTTGCTACAGCTGTGAGCGCTGCAAGTATATCTGACCTCGTGGGCACTTGGTCAACAAAGTCCCGCAAGGTTGTTACAGGTCCGGTATGTTCTGCATCGCTTTGTTTGTTTATCAAGGCCATCGTGTCAACACTGGTCCTAAGCTAATATACGCTTTCTTCCACTTTATAGGACTTTTATGATCCGATAAATGATAAATTCATTGAACCGAACCTCACTGGTATCTCCTACTCTTTCACAGAGGATGGGCACTATGAAGAGGCGTACTATCGCGCCGTTGCCAATCGTCAGTATTCCACCGTGCACCAGATGCTTCGACTGTCTAACATGTCTGGATTATGTATAGCTGTGAATCCTTCGTGCCCTAAAGGCATTATGCAATGGCAACATGGAAAGTTCGTCTTGAACAGCGACGGATCCCTCCAGTTGACGCCTATTGCCTCGGATGGTCGCCAGCTAGTTTCAGATCCTTGTTCCTCAAATCTAGCAACATACACTAGATACAATCAGACAGAGACCTTCAATGTATCTTTCTACCACACCTTTTAATGCTGCCCTCGCTAACCCCGTCTCAGTCTTTCCAGATTTCCAAAGATCCTTATCATGGCATTCAACGGCTGGACCTCAAGAGTTTTGATGATTCACCAATGCATCCGATGTACCTTGTTTATCAGCCGCCGCAGATGCTGCCAACAGCGACCTTGAATCCTATGTCCGAGACGGGGAAAAGTAAACGTCATGTCGCCCGCGATACGGACCGGTCAACTGGAGTGAGAAACCTGATCACGAAGGAGGAACTTACTAACCCTGACCGGTGGCTGTGGGTTGGGGTGTTCGCGACTGCTCTAGGTGGCATCACCTTATTTTACTCTTGAGAAGCCAGAAACGTCCGATGCCTTAATCAGTCGGCTTCCCAGTGGCTATGGAGTTCGGTAAACATGTCAAATGGAGATGCTTGGGATGGTATATCAATGGTTGGGATCACTGGAGTTTTTGCATACAATCTGGCGCTGGAGGAATTTCTTCGGTCTGGCGTTTAATCATCTAATATTATCGGTATACAGGCCAGGGTTATCTGCCCCTTCTGAATGTATGGGTTTACGCAGTTCATATAGGTATAATGATTCGTGATACATAAAGGCGCGTAGCTCAGGTTTGACCTCTGGACACGTTTCACCAAAAGGAACCTGACCTTGGATCTATGGCAACATCGGAGTGAAGTAAATTTACAGTTATACAGTAGCTAATATACACACCGCTCAATTCATGTCTTTAGAGGGCAGAAACCGCCTCTCTAGCAACCTTGGCGACCTCTGATCTCTCCGCTGGCTTGCCGTCGAAGGCACCTCCGGGAGCAAACAGTGATTTGAGTAATGTCCCGATCTCGACCTTCTGGCCAGCCTCCTTTAACCTTGAGATTTCCTGTGCCACAATCTGCTTGACATCATCTAGGCTTATTGTCTCTACCTGGCTTGCATACTCTTCCAAAATCGTGACGTTCTTTTCCTCAGACTCTTTCAGGTCAGGCCGGTTGTCGTCAGCGAATTGTTGCGCTGCGTCTTTTGCGCCTGCCATACGCTTCCGAATCAATGATAAAAGTTGCAAGTCAGTTTGGATCGGCGATGAGGTCTTCAAGGAGTTATTCGTTTCGGAAATGATGGCGCGCAGAACGTTCAACCTGCAATTTCATTGTCTATGTTAGCCGTCGCGCTTGGAAAGGTGTGTACGGCATGGACTTTACGTACCTCGCTGTATCTTTGGCACGCATAGCAACTTTAAGGTCGGTCCTGATTTTAGCCATCAAAGGCGGCGTAGACGGGCTGCTAGTTGAATTCCATCGTACTGAGCGCAGGCTCAGTCGAGCTGTGAGTCTTTGAGGGCGGAACATTATGTGATGAGATCGAAGAAATGCAAATTTGAAGCAATACTTATTGACTAGAGAAGTGATTTCCTCGATTCTTAAAAAAGTGGAATTATATTAGATATGTTCCGTGCAATTGAGGCGCAAGGAAAATAATGAAAGGACCTTTGTCGGCGGAAAAGGCGGAGAGCTCCTTCGAGGTTAAGTCACGATTAAATCTTCGGGCCCGTGCACAATTTTGTTTCTCACTTTCGAATTGTCATGATTTGATTGTTATTCGGTCTGAATAATCTTATCCGTCTCTGGAGGAACACCACAAGCCTTCATTGATGATTTCTATCATCCCGCCTGTCTAGTTTGGACTTCCCCCCGGCTTCATTTTCCTCTTTTCACCATTCTCATTACTATCTTACTTTCCCTCCACTGAACGAACTTACCTCGCCGGGGAGCGCGACGACTTCCCCCCCAAAGCCGCCTGTATATTGACTCCAAGCCAGCATCATGTCTTATCCAAACCTTCCTCCAGCTCTCACACCTCAGCGACCGCTACCCGGCGCATTTTTCCAGACTCCTGGTCCGAACAATGTTCAGACTGCGCCAGCTTTCTCCCCGAAGCCAGCTCCAGCCCCCGCAGAGCAACCCTCACCAGCTTCTCTACCAAAGCTTCCTCCAGCCGCATCAAAGTCGAAAAGTCAGACCTTAAGTACTGAAGAGCGCGCAGCTCGAACTGTTAATGATACGCTTACCCAAGAAGCCCGCTACCCTGACCTGGACAGCTACCTTTCTCGTAAGTAAACACTGGCTTTGAGCCACATAGAGCATGGTTGACCCCTTGTGCAGAAGGCTTCTCGTCCGATTATGATATCCCGGTTTCCCCATCATGGGCTCCTTTCCAGAAAGTGAAGATGTATAACATTCCAGACCAGATTTTCGATCAGTATAACCGAGCGCAGGTCTCTACGAGCATGGGTCTTTTCGCAGAGTTGAATCATGCATGGGTTGCCATTGACAACGCGCTCTACATTTGGGACTATACGCACCCGAATCCCCAGCTGGTGGGTTTCGAAGACCAACCAAACAGCATTAATGCGGTTAAATTGGCCAAACCTCGCCCTGGGGTGTTTTTGCCTTCGATCACACATTTGCTTGTCGTATCAACAACGGCAGACGTCATCCTACTTGGCATGGGTTGTGAGACGACCGCTACAGGTGCACGCCAGGTGACATTGTATCAAACGGGCATGTCGACGTCAATTCGTGGCTTGGATATCCACGTTATCGCGTCGTCGGACGCCACCGGTCGTATATTCTTCGGTGGTTCTTCCGATAATGACGTTTATGAGCTCACGTATCAACAAGAGGAGAAGTGGTTTCAAGGACGTTGCTCAAAGGTCAACCATACTAGCTCGCGCTTGGGGGCCCTGACCCCTAGCTTAAGCTTTTCGAGCTTCACGCACAAGATGTTCGAAAATGTAGAGCAGATGGAGATTGATGACAGCAGAAGGTTGCTCTATACATTGTCTTCCTCGTCCACAATCAGAGTATTCCACATGAAGCCCGACGGTACCCTTGCTTTAGCGATCACTAAGCCTGCTATGGACATTTATGCCAATATCGGGCATATAATTGCATCGAATGAGACTCTGAATCCCAAGGTCCCGATCGTTTCCATCAGTCCTATTCCGGTTGCAGAGGCGTCCAGGTATCATTTGATGGCTACCACTGCTACTGGCTACCGGATCTACTTGAGTGCTACTGGCTCATATAGTTGGTCACCATCACCCAACGGTACCAATGCACCTACGAGCATGCAGGCTCACCATGTGAAAACGCCTCCTTTCGATGGCGGCTCCGCCAGTCCAATGGGCCCAGCTTTCCAGGGTCAGGGGCGTTTCCAGCCGTCAGTAGCAAAGGTTCCAATCCATTCCCTTGACCCTACCAGGTTCACTGTCCGATACCCCCCTGGTTACTTCTTTTGTTTCACATGCAAGGACCCAACGCAGAAGACAGATACTCTCTTCGTCTCTTCCCCTGACTCTGGACGCGTTGCTCGTTCCCAAGAAAATGTCATTCCTGGCAATGCTAGCGAGACAGCTATCTGGCTTTCTTTAGGTAGTAGGGCGGAAGATGTTGGTCTTTGCTCCCCGTCTACAGCAGCCTTAGCCACACCAGGTGCCTTTGGTAATGAGCTTGCGGTTCAATTTGACAACCCGGCCGCCGAAATCGCCATCTTGACTAACACTGGCATCCATATTATTCGTCGCCGACGTCTTGTTGACATGTTTGCGGCCTTAGTCCGCGGCGGTGGTGACGGCGATGAAGGCTTAGAAGGTGAAGTGAAGAATTTTATTCGTACGTATGGTCGCAGTGAGACACTTGCAACTGCTCTCGCGGTCGCCTGCGGCCAAGGCGTAGAGATTTCTGCAGACTCACGCCTGACCCAGATTAATGACCCCCATGTGCTCGAATTTGCGCGCAAGGTCTTCATCGAGTACGGAGGCAGGCCCACGATGAATGAAAATGCCGTAGCTGACAACTCTACACCGGCGATCGATTCTGTTGTTCCATCACCCCGGCATGCGGGCATTGCTCTTTACATGTCTAGACTGCTACGTACCATCTGGAGGAAAGAAATTGCTAAAGTTGGGCCCTCCCCCGGCGGTGCACAAACAATCTTACCTTCTGTATCATCCGCAAAGTTGCAAACTATCCAACGAGATCTATCGGCGTTGCAGGAGTTCTTCAAAGCTAACAAGAGCTTTATCGAGGGACTAAGTGGTCCAGAGGCCCTGGCACGTGTATCAACCAAGCAAGAAGAAACTGCGCTTCAAGCGGAGCATCGTGCCCTGCATTCCCTTGTTCAACTTGTATCTCACACCATTGAAGGCATTTCATTCATTCTGGTTCTGTTTGATGAGCGGGTTGACGAGATAGTTGCCAACTTGCCAGATGACTCAAAGCAGCGATTTATGAAGCTTACCTTCGAGGAGCTCTTCAGCACTAGCAAAGGCCACGATATCGCGAAGGAACTGGTTAAGGGAATTGTGAACCGAAACATCGCTAAAGGATCCAATGTGGAAACGGTTGCTGACGCTTTGCGGCGGCGGTGCGGCAGTTTTTGCAGCGCTGAGGATGTGGTTATCTTCAAGGCTCAGGAACTACTCAAGAGAGCGACTGAAGCTGGTTCCAACTCTGAACTAGGCCGCAATTTGCTCAATGAAAGTCTTCATCTATTCCAGCAGGTTTCCGAGAGCTTGCCGATGGATTACCTGGTTTCTGCAGTTGAAAACTTCATATCTAATCAATTCTTCGCTGGTATGCACTGAATAATCTCTGGCTAAAACAGCGCTAATCAAGCCACAGGCGCTATCCAGCTTGCACTCAATGTTGCCGCACGTTCAGACAAAGCTAACATGGCGCTTTCGTGGATTGTTGATGGTCGTCCAGAGAATGTGAGTCACTTGATTTGGTCAAAATCATTCGATGCTGATGTGCTCGATAGGATTCCCGGAGTGACTACTTCTATTTTAGAAAACAGTGTTATGATCTCATCTTCAAGGTTATCATTGCTGTGGATAACCTTGCAGCTCACGACCCTGGTGTTGTTGACGGACAACTCACTGTCATTGCCAAGCGCAAGAACGAAGCCTATGGAGTTATCTCCGACTCTATCGATGAGGTGTTTTTGACCAGCTTGTATGACTGGTACTTAGAGCAGGGCTGGAGCGAGCGCCTGCTTCATGCAAACTCCGCATTTGTGGTTACCTATCTTCAGCGGAAGTCGACGGACGATATTGCGCATGCGGACCTCTTATGGAGGTACTATGCGCAGTCAGAGCGCTTTTTCGAAGCTGCCAAGGTTCAGTTCCATCTTGCACAGAGCGCTTTTACTCTCCCTCTTGGTCGCAGAATCGAGTATTTGGGCCGTGCCAGGGCCAACGCTTCAACATTCACGCCGGATGTTGGGCGACAGCCCCGACAGCGCTTGTTGCAGGATATCTCGAATCTCATTGATCTTGCAAACATTCAGGATGACCTTCTGCAGCGCTTGAAAGATGATAAGCGCTTAACTTCAGAACGCAAGACGCAGGTTCTTGCAGATGTTGACGGCCCCATCATGGATATTAGCACGGTAGGCCAACTCAACCACGTTAATTGAATCCACCTCCACTGACATGTTATAGTTGTTCAACCAATATGCCGACCCTGCAAGCTACTACGATATTTGCTTGCAAATATTCTACTTAGCCGATCACAGGAACCCAGCAGATATCCGTTCCACGTGGCAGCACCTGCTACAAGATCTACACGATGAGACCGTCGAGAATGGAGAGCCTCAGCCATATGAAGCTGTAATTGATAAGGTGCGCAGCTTGGGAAGCCGGTTGCGCATGTCCGAGATAATATTCCCGATCCCCACTCTTTTGCCCATGCTTGAGCGCTATGCCTTGGAACACCAGCGTGGTGTTGGTCCAGCAACATGGGTTGTCGATCTATTCCTCGATCTCGGCGTCGCTCACGAAACTCTCTACACCGTTCTCGAATCTATGTACTACACAGATGAGGCACCCTTCCACGGCACCAACCGGAAATACATCGCCAAGGACCTCCTCTATCTCATCGAGCATTGGTTCCACGACACCGTCCGCTTGGGCGGAACCGTCTTCGGCAGCGACGTGGTTGCGGAACGCATTACAGAGACGCTGCTTTTGCTACAGCAGGGCGGCAACATCCCCCCGGAACAATTGCAATTGGCCAATGAGCTGCGGACACGGGTTGAAGATATACTGCGGTAATTAATGGATGCAATTATGTGGCGCAACTAAAAAGAAATTATATCATTATTGTCAATTTACGTGCGTTGATTCCATTGTACTAGCTAGCCATCTGGAGTTCATTGTTGTATGTTGTTGGTCGGTTCATATCATAGGTCTTGGCTGTGCAGGGTAGACAGGCAGGTATATGTCCTCATTAGATTATTCATTCAATATATTTCAGAATATTGAGTGTTTTTGTAAAGATGTGAGATATTACTACAATGAACTAGAGTCTCGCCTTCTACTATCAGATATAGTATCTTAAACCTGGGTTCACAATAGGAGAAGCCTGCTAACAACCAATATCAACGTAGATCAAATACCAATGTCTATAAGCTAGTTCTCGCGAGAGATTAACATGTCTAAACTACCAAATCCAAAATCCAAAATCCAACCGTCTATCGCGCGAACAAGAATAGGTATCCCAAGCAGAGAAAGAAAAGAAAACAAGAATTATAAGTTGTAGATCCCGCACGCATGCATATGCAGCGAAGAAAAGAAAAGAGAAAAAAAAAAGCCAGCAAATTTTTGCACTCCTTCCCGAAAAAGAAAATATTATGAACCCGGATTTAAGCAGAAGTAACGTAACGCTCAATAGGTTTTTTGCACTCCCAGCAGAACGCCCGGGATAATGAAGCGATGATTCGTAAATTGCAAGACGACGTGCTGTTCGCCTGATACTATGTTGTTTTTCGAGTTCCTTTTTTTTTTTACTCGAACTGGTCGTAGACGGGGATGGGCTTCTCGCCTAGTGCAGTCAGGCGGAAGATGTGGCGGAGCTTTGCGCCGTAGTCATCGTCTAGGTAGTCGACGATTGCTGAGTCTGGGGGTTTTTCACCGTTAGTTTGGGTTTTAAGGAGGGGGTTGATTTGGGTTTGTGACTTACGAAGAGTACAGCGGTTATCGAAGATAACGATTGTCTTTGGTTGCCATCTTACTCGAGCTTGGAAGTCGTGGCCGGTGATGATGTGGTTCATGAGGAATTCAGTGAGCCAGCGTTGTTCGGGCTCCTTGAGACCTTGGATCTTGGTGATGAATTCGCCGTTGATGAAGAGGCACTTCTCGCCCGTCACTGGGTGGACTCGGACTAGTGGGTGGACGGTGTCCACGGGGTCCTTGCGGACGAGGCTGTTGGTTAGGCGGGCGTGGTTGATCATTTTAGCGGAAGAGTGAACGGCCCGGAGAGTGTCGAGCCAGGAGCAGAAAGTCGGAGAAAGACGTCTGGAATTGATTAGTTTCCGTGATCTTGGGGTATTCAACAAAGTGGAATCAAAAGCGCGCATACTTGTAGGCCATATCGGTCGCCGCAAAGACGGTATCACCTCCTACTTCTGGGCCTTCCAGAAGACCCAACATGACGTAGCTGGGTGGCTGGATTTCGTAGCTCACATCCTGATGCCACAGAGTGGTTGTCGTGCGCTGCGACAGGAAACGCGAGATCTCTTCTTTGTTGCCATCGCGATGAATGATATGGAAGCCGGGGTGGCCGCGCACCGTTCCAGAAACAGGCTGATAGTTCGGTTTTCCGAAATGGCGCATAAACTGTTCCTGTGCCTCGGGCCCAGCATCGATCAGATCCTGCGCGGGAAATGCGACAACTTTGCGCTCGGAAACCAGCAATGCAAGCTCATCCTTCGCGGCGTCCGAGAGCTGGCTCAGCTGAACGCCTTCGATGATGGTGCCGATCTTCGGCTGGATTTCGGTCACTTTAGCTTCGGGAGTCAAGAGATTAGGCTTGGACCTATCCTCTACGCGCAGCGCCGGATCGTCATAGTGGAATGGGGGCAGTGGATCAAACCACATTTTGTCCCATGTTGGCAAATATTCTGGGTACCGGGTTCTGACGGTGTTGTCCCCATTGACGTCCACGTAGGGGATGTTGATGTCGTAACTGATAGGGCTCTCTTCCTTGTGAGCATTGACCGGATGGCTCTTGGGCCTTATCACAGGGGCGGTTGATGGCATGTTGAGAGTGAAAACAGCCTTAGACGAGAAGGAGGAGCTATTAAGACTTAAATGTCAAGGCAGATTACAAAATGTAGAAGCGGAAGAATTAAGAATGGATGAGAGAAAATTGGTTTCTAGAAGATTGGTTGGAAATTGATGAGATTGAAAAGAAAAGTGATAGGAGTTTAGATGAGAGGGAGACAAGTATAAATAATCTCGCATCCATGGTATCATTACATTTTGATAAATAAAAAAAAAAAGAAAAGAAAAAGAGAAGGCCACTGCTCAATTTGGAAAAGGAATATTGGGTCAAAAGTGGATGTAATGCCACCACACGGCACAAACGATCTAACGGAACTTCGCTTAAACATGACTAGACTACTCTGTATGTGCTATCCCTTTCATCTCCGGCAGCGACCTTGCGCTGGGGATGCGCCAGATTATTCATGGCGGCGAACGAAAAGTGTCTCGAGCGAACGCGATGCCATGACGACAGGGGACAGGATTCGCTCCTCTGGACCTGAACGGGTCTCGACAGATTAGACCGGGGGGGATGTGGAGGGCACGGCGGCAGGTCAACGGACCAGTCAGAAATAAGCAGGCCCTCAAAAATAAAAATAAATAAATAAAAAATTTCTAAAAGTTGGTCCAAAAGGGTGAAAGCGATGAGAGGAATGAACAGAACAGACAAGACAAGATCAGACAAAGCAGGCGTTAGAGAAGGTCAGAGGGAAGCGGTCAAGAGACGCAATGGGTCCTCGGCGTACATTTCATATAGCTTCCGCATCGGACGATACAAAGGATTTGCAGGGCAATTTTCCTCATCGCTGCAACTATGTCGGGCACAGGTCGCCGATTACTATAGTGATTGGATCTCGCGCCGACGAGGGGCACAGTCTGCTTCCTGCTCCCGGCGTGCTCCGGGGGACTGGCTCTGTCTGTAAGTGTGTATTCCATTTGTTTCTGGTGCGGTTTCACCGCTCAATCTGGCGCAAACCGGACGAACGATAAGGAGCCGAAGGTGGAGCCTATGCAACATGCACGTTGGGCCAATATCGCTAGCCTAGGTCTGTCTCCTCGATCCCCGGTAACAAGGCTCGCGGAATTGCATGTTGGTGCAGTAGTCGCCCGAGATACATCGGTGCCGTACCAATAAGTAAATAGTGTCCCCATCCAGTGTCTTATAGTAGGTTTCTGTCGCGGCTATCATGCATCCCCTTGCATCCCTTTCGATTGGGAGAAAAAGAAAAAGAGGAAAGAAAACTGCTAAAGTTAAAGCTAAAAAAGAAAAGGAAAAGGGCGTAATATCCCGGTAGGGTCCCCATTAATGCTCGTACTACTGTAAGACCTCATGCATTATGTAACTTGTGGTCCAATAACTGGACATCGCAGCTTGTCTGCTGATGTCGGTGGAATAATTTATTGATGTGATAACGGGTGGGTGCGACATTGAGAAGATTGTGTTGCGTCTCTTTCGCCACTACTGAAATTATTGCTTTGACTGGATCAGTCTTGGTGTAACGACGATCGACCGAAGAAAGAATAATTCCGATAAACTGTAATTTTCCCCCCTTTTCCTTTCGTTTTCCTTTTTTTTTTTTTTTGTTGTTTTTTAATAGAGTTGCCCAGTAAAGCAGTCGGGTAGTGTTTTGTTGTTGTTATGGACCCGCCCTCGAGTGGAGATGAATCAAAACATTGTGTGTCCCAATCTTGGGTCACACATGGTTTTGCTCGACGTGGCTTCTAGTGGGTTGAAAGAACAATCCTAATCATTTTTAGTAGCCATTTTGACCCGCTCCCGGGTGGTTCAATGGAACCGAGGGCGCTCGTTTAAAGCCAAGGCGATCATGACGTTCATACTCATTTCGGCCATGCGGCCCAATTCCCCGTGAGCTCTTTATCAAAAAAGGTCCCCACAGGAGGCACATCAGTGGACTTTGGCTCGCGAAGGACCACTCGCTCCGTCGTGGAGCGTTCCATAGCCGTTTTAGAAGATCCATCGAAGCCTCGACCGAGGATATAGGGCATCGGTCTGATAATGTACGTCTGTACGGAACAAGTACTATGTATGTACATATGTATCGCACAAGATGATAGATAGATCAGGTCTTGGTCAAACCTGCAGTTATATTTGGGTCCACTTCTGTATTCTCAGGGTCTGGAGGAGTCGAATTCCAATTGAGGCCGATAGGTGCAGCCATCCGGCGTATTGCCTAAATGCTTGTGTCTGTAGTGTTGACTGACCACTACTACGAACGTTGAGGTGCCTCGGCACTTGTCCGGCTGGAGCTCATGACCAAGGCCTGGGTTTCAGAGACACCTCCGAGATTTTCTTACGGGACCAGGGTTTCCATTAGCAAAGGATTTGCAAGGTTGACGCCAACGGTCGGGTAGTGACTACTTGCGAAGGTTATTTGTGAGAGACCTCGTCAATTATTCTGGCGGTCAAATTCCGTCCTAACTTCCGGGGAAAGGGACACAACTCCTAAGGTACCCATGTCAATGGACTAGTCATCGTACTATGTGATAGCTTAGCAGCCGCGGTCCCGTGTTTTGGCCCTAAAAAAGCAATTTTCTTTTTTTTTTTTTTTTTTTCCGTCCCAAGCATGACCGGTCCGGTCCAAATCGTGAAGACAACAGTCATAAAATATACATCATAGGCCACCTGTCGAGGAATTCCTTGGATTGGGCTGCAGTCTGCGTAAAGAGAATGTGTACTCCGTACGATATTGGTGGGGAATGCTGCAGGTTGCAAGAGGCTTGGGAGCGCAGCTCTTCCTTGCAGTACTTTTTTAGTCCAACCAATCTGGTTCCGGAGCGACGGGAAGTCGAGGTAACGATCAGCTCCAGGGGCCGTCATAAATTAGGGGCTTTTGCACCACAAACTTCACCAAAGACAGAGACAAGGGGGCAAAAGGCTCTTCCGTAAGAGTTGCGGTGAGACTCCCTAAAACCGGGTGTCTCGTGTAGTTACCCGTTGGCGGTTACGCCGTCCTCGATCCCCTTGTGGGAATCGCTTGTGTGTACGGTGAAGGACGGGGTGGGAGTCGAGAGTGTTTCCTGGAATTGCTGTTCAGGATATCTTTAACTGATAAGATCGAAGCATGATATGATGCAAGGTCAAAATCTCAGAAAAAGCAAAGAGATTGATTAGCATTGAGTCCCAACTGCTGGGTCACTGTTCTTGGGACACTAAACTTAACTAGCCCGTTAAAAGATAATAGCAGGTACCGATCCGCGGACCTATGTAAGCTTAAGCTATGTTTAGGCCTCGTGCAGTGAAAAAAGCAAATAGTACTCCTGCGTATCTTCTTCCCAGTTTCTCGGGTCGTCGATGAACAGCGGGGGCCTTTCGAGAGATTGCGCATGTTTGCTTTTTCCCGTCTTTTCTTCCCTCCTTGCCTCCTCTCCTGTCCCTGCGGATCACCTGACCTGACTTCTCATGTTGGTGTTCCGTTTGTTGACAGCAGTCACGTTAGCTCTCAAGAACCTTTGACCTCCAACAAAAGATTTCATTCACACATACCCATACCCATACCACATATAACATACATATATACATGCACGTATACATCAAGAAAAATTTGATTTATCGATTTTCAGTGAATTGCCACCTCCTAGATACGAAACACCATGGTGCAATCTGCATCTCTCATATCGCGAAAACGCGACCTAATCTACTTCATTTTTTTCGCCATCCACCTCCCTATCATTTTCCGTAAATCTCTCCCTCCTTAACAGGCTTCTCCACACTGATATCGGTACATTGGAACAATACTAACGCACCAATCCAGTCATCGACACAGTCCCCCTTCTCCCCTCCATCCTCCAGACTAACCTTTCCCACCATATCCGTTCCTACTACATAACCACCTACCATGACAAATTCTTCTCGGAGCCCGCTCCGGCGTGGTTCTCCACCTTTATCGCAATGGAACTTGTCTATCACGCACCGTTGAGTCTCTGGGCTCTTGGCGCGTTGCTCAAAGGTAAAATAGCCTAATATTTTTATTATTTACTTTTTGTTTTTTACCCGTCGGGGATGATGGTGATAGTGGGGTGTAATCATCATCTCGTAAATATCGGAAGCTAACAGAAAGGATACCGACAGATGACCCCCTGGTCCCAATGCATTTGTTGGTGTTTGGAGTTCAATCATTCGTGACCTCGAGTGCTTGCTTGGCAGAGGTCTGGGGCTGGGACGATCGCACGGTCGCCCAGAAGCAGGATTTGACTATGTTGTATGCGCCTTATGTGATGCTTGGTAAGTTTACGTTTATTTTAATCTTTTTTTTTTCTTCTTTGTGGGTGTTTCACGCTTGTGGTTTTATGTTTTCTTTATCATCTCTTTTGTTTTTTTTTTTTTTTCATGGCTGGTGGTTTCGGCAGGGCGATCGGTGGCGGCTAACTTGGTCCAGGGGCGTTTATGGCGTTGGACATGCTCTTTAGGTTGCGGGGGAAGCTACTGAGTAAGTCCAAGAGCGAGTAACTTGTATGTGGGTTGGGCCCCTGGTACAGACCGGGTAGAAGTAGAATATAGGTCTGGGTTGGGAATAATACTACGTCGTAGTACTTCTGAAAGGACTGCAATTTCACTATCACGGATGGAGTCAATGGCAAATTTAGATCGCAATGCGAGGCTGGAATCTTACGTTCCACCTTCTGCAGTGGAAGTACTTAGTTTTAGGGCTACGTGACTGATCGAAAAAGTAAGACAAGAAATAAACGAAGAGGCTCCACTTCAATACATGAGACTCCATTTACGAGGCACAGCATAGAACGCATTCACCGCAAGTGCAGATAATGTTTGTATTCATAATCGGGGCGACTAGACCGCTACGCTGACTCGACCAGCAGCGCCACAAGGGGCACAGGCCAGGGAGGCCAAGGGTGGAGCTGATAATGCGGTAAGCTGCAGCCGATATAACTGAAATGCAGATGGGGAGGGGTGTGTCTCTCTACCAATGACACGCCTCGCCGGTCCCTCAGAGTCCTCTCTCATCCACACAGCGACAGGAGTCGATTACAGGATTTTTGGGATATCTGGGCAACAATCGCTGTCTCCACCGCTCAATGACGGCGTGATGCAGCGGTAAGGTACCGGAAACACGTCAAGATTTCGTAATTTATAGCATCTGGAACTCACATGTCATATCAGGAAGCCAATGGCCCCGTCGAGGTCCCCATTAGCTGCATCTAGCGCCCGCATAGCCTCTTCCCGAGTGAAACCGAGCTCGGTGATCTTCGCGATGGAATCTTGTGGCCAACGGGATGATTGTGCCGGAGTTGGACGAGACGGAGGTGCCGTAGATGAGCTGGTGCCACCGGATCCTTGTGCCTGGTGAGTAACCGCACCCGTTCGAGCGCCGACTTCGGCACCGTCAGCTCCTTTGACCAAAGGCTCATCCTCGAATTCATCTTGCAGATGCTTAGGAATATCTGCCTCTCCCAAAAATGGCACGGCTTGGTCTTGAATGACCAGTGCTCCCCTCCTGAGGTCGATGCAGGCCTGATGCCGCCTCAACATATCCAGACCCAGGAGGAGATCGATGTGCTTGCCTTCCATCACAGTAAAGGAACATGGCAAGAACATGCTTCCGATCTTGATCTGAGCCGAATGGACGCGCCCCAGGATATTCGCGGTGCCCACTCCTTTAGCAATTCCCCCGTATCGCTGGTCCACCAGACGCATGATGTTGCATGCGGTTGCACACTCGGGGGACATGATGGTGACCTGGGCGCCAGAATCGACGAATGCGTTGAGTTTGTGGCCGTTGACTTCGACTGGTATGTACAACATGGTCACGCGACCGAACGCTATGACAGTTAGCAAAGCCATTCTGTCACAGGAAGAAAATGACTGAACACACATTCCGGATGATGCTCCATGGCATTATGGAGGTTCTCTGTCACCGCATTCTGGCGAATGATCTCTTCAATTTGTCGCTGGTTTTCCGGGTTGAACGGGTCTGCGTTCAACATTGCAATACGGGCCTCCTTCTCAGCCTCTAACTGAGCCTCCCGCCTCTGTTGGTTGAGGAATACGTCGCGGAACCGCTGAGCATCACTGGCTGCATCCGCCAATTCCGGGTTTTGCCGTCGGACAGCTTCGCGCACTCGAGGGTCGCCTAGAATGTGTAACCGGATGGTCTCGGGATCTGGGTTCATTGCCTGACGCCGTTGGAGGTTTTGTTGCGCAGCAGAAGCGCTAGGGCCGCCAGCAGTGCGGGCGGGCGCCTGAGGACTCCGCAGCGTAACATGGACCCCCAACATATCTCCTTCCCCGATTCCAACCTGATCAAGGGTACATGCATCATCTCCGAGCAACTGATTATTGTAGACGATTCGTTGAGCGCTCGGGGGAACAGCGGTTTCGCTCTCGACGATAGCTTTGAGAAGTTCAACGGTCATGTCCCCACCCACCTCAAGCGATATGATATCAGCATCGGCTTGGTCCGGTCGGATGACACTGACAGTGATACGCCTATATTCATTATTACTTTCGGTTAGATATTATGGTTGATGGTCGCCAGGAGACCCTTTTCGTTTTTTATTTATCTTGGTTCTTTTGTTCCACTTACATGGTGTCCGAGCTGTAGTGCGGGGAAGCTATCCAAAGCTCCGACGCGATAAACTGAACTCAAGATGCACCGGTTCCAAGTCGAAGTCACTAGACGTGTGATGTATTTTGCAAAAGATGACGCCGAATTGAGAAAGTCGATTGAGGATGACGATTCGTCGATTGAGAAAAATCCACAATGGTTATAAAAGTACAAGTCGGCAAGAATAGGATGTCACGAGCTTTGGGAAAGATAAGGAGGGGGGGAAGGAGGGGGGAAGGAGGACTAGGAGGACAAGTGTAATAAGGACAGGGATATCTTGGAGAGAATGAGGAACCACCTAAAAAAAAAATAGTCAGATTCTCCGGTGAGGGAGGAAAAAAGGTAGAATAGTAAGTAATGGTAGTTGGTTGTCATGAATCAATCGTTAGTTCTTTTGTTCCTGAGGACCTCTACCGCGGTCGGCGAATAAATGAGGACTTCTCCCAGATTAGGTAACCATGCCATGCGTCACCATTTTCTCAATCCATGAGTGTCCATCATCTTCTCCCTCTCTCGTTCTTCTTAATTACAAATTTTTGCCTAGATCTTGATAGAAGCTAGGACCGAAGAAGAAAAGGACAGGGAGAGAGAAAAAAGTATAATACGACAATTCTGTGTTTTTATTGTATTTCTGTTTATTTTGTCCTGTTCAGGTCGCGATATGAAACCTTAAAAATCTGGTGTTCATGTGTGCATGGTGCAGGGTTATTTATGTATAAATACTCCGTATCTACTTCCTGTATTGGTACTAATCCCCCATGTCGCGAAGAGCCTCTCAATTCCTTTCTACCTAATTTAAAAATATTAGTCACAGAACATGACATTACTCCGTTTATGGCTAAGCCTGGTCCTTGCCCTCTCTGGACGTTTGGCTTCTACGATTTCTCTGCTTTTTCACATCCGATCTAGAATTGAAGAGGGCGCTCAAGTATGGAATTGTACTGTACCGTACATATATATTCCATCGGCCTTCTGTGACAGACTTGCAACAAGCGGAGGACCCTAGGAGCAACGGACTAACTCCGGCATGTTGGTGGTCCAGTTATTTGAAAAGACGTTCTACCAGATTGAGCTAGTTACATATAGGGCGGCCAAACTTCTCCAAAACACACCACCCTCTTAACATGCTAACCTGATCCCCCACTTCCTAGACCGTTAATGAAGATCTTATTCCTTACCATTTACTTATCTTATATATTTTATCATCAATATTATTTAAACCGTTCCTCTTCTTTTTCTCCCCGCTTGTCGTCTCTCAACTCTTTTGGAGCCAGAGAAATCACATCATCAGGAAACGTTGCGTGCGACATATGGCCTCATGCGTCCTCTATCACTAAGGCCCAGTCCTAGTAGTGTTGACGCTAAATGGACAACTCCACCGGCAGCAGGCAAGGAGCTGCGAAGGGAATGTTTTCCCAGCCATTGCGATGATCTCATTAGACTCATCCTCGAGTTTATAATGGGGCAATCATAACGGATGATTGAGACTGCGATGCGACGAGTGGCGTGCGGCGCGGAATAGCTGGTTTGGATTGGCCTTTAAACTGCTAGCGTGCATAAAACTAACGTATGAGGACATTCCCTACTTACTCTCTCTGGAACTGACTGCGTACAGGGCGGGTCACATGCAGCCGCACATATCATGCTAATCAGCACATCATAGGTGGACGATCATGGAAAACTTCTCCTCGTGCAGGGAGTGATAATGAAACATCAGGTTTTTTTTTTTTTTTTTTTTTTGGACCTTTGCCAGTCTAGAATGGCTGAATCTAACCCACGCAATCACTGTTATTATCGAGTCCCATTCCAAACACAACTCCAGGCGAATTTAGCAGATGATTCCGTGGCGAACGGCACCACACGGTGGCATGGGTCAAAGGCAGGCGATTCATTTTTCCACTCCTGTTGTCTGGAATACCACATGACCGACACAGGTTCTTCATCTTAGCAACCTGGCAGTTGACGTGAAGACGTTCTTAGGAGGACATCGTATGTGCGGTGGATCGAAAACCGGGAAGTTGATCTCGAAGCTGGAATTATTCGCTTGACAAACTCATATAACTTCCGACGATACAGTTGTGCCTGCAATATGAAGAGCGAGTAGAAAACCTTGGACCTCTGATTATGTCCCACACTAAGTTGAAGGCAGAAACGATGGACGAAGTAACTGCTGGTTAAATTGATGATCGGTCTTCTATTACTTCAGCGCCGATATTTTGTCCAAGCCCTGTTTAACGGAAGCATACAGTGTCGCGTTTTAACCATTCATGTATATGTATCGTCACTTGTATCTTCGACTGAGTACAGGTTCAACATATTTGACCTTGGCTCGAAAGCAGGATATCCGCTATGTTTGCAAGAGAAAATGCTATTTCTCTCCTTCCGCAGCATGCTTCTAATACTTGGGTACTGCCTCGCCTCGCTGTACAATCGCTGGATTATCCTAGGTACCACTAGCCGCAAACATTGTGACAATACGCATCTCTAACAGCTTGCGAGATATTGACGCATGCTTTCGTGCTGTGATTATTGAAGATACGTGTATAGTAAACAGGCTCTGGAGAACTAGTTATCTCAATTTGGCCTATATGTTAGGGTCTGTGTTGCTTTCGTATAAGCATTTATGCGGATTCAAGCTTCACAGAAAACTTCCCACAATTTGAGTGGTTGAACTCTTCATGCCCGAAAAATATAATAGTCGACAATGGTTTGCACTGAGAGAAAGCTGGGAAGTATAAGAATGGGTAGTGATTGTAAGGTAGGCACAAAGAGATATCGGCTGGGTCTCTTTCTAATCAAGTTTTAGAAATTTCAGCACAAAGAGGTATCCTAACAATGTCTGTCACCCTGCAACCCGATGAACACTACGGCAAGAACCGCACCCCCAGGAGTTCACAATATCTAAACTAAAGAATATTTGCATTAAAGCAGAGGGCATCCTACTAAATCTTGCATATTAGCATTTGCAAGACTGAGGCATTCAAGCCCGTAGTTGAGATTTTACTTGACAAGGTACACAGCACCCAGTGACTGGATAGATGGCCATAATTCTTTTAAAGCAGTTGTGTTGGTTCACAGTCGCTAAGTGCTTAACAAACCTTTGTGTGTTAGGTTCATCTGTACCACCCCGGTGGTGAACGAGAAATCGGACGGCGCTGTCAACAGGAAATGTGTTAGCTTGGCTTACTGCCGACAGCTCTGAAGACAAGGCCCGCTT